TCGATACGACGGGACAAGCTTTTGATTTCCCCGGCAAAAGGTGGCATGCCAAGCCCGCGAATCAGGTGCCGTGTTCCGGCCATGGATGACCGGGATCGTGTCCGGCGCCGACCGGGGTTGGGCAGTATCGAGCCAGCGCTACTACGTAGGAAATGGCACAAAATGGCAGTCTACCCGCCTGCGATTAACGAGGGCGATTCGGCGAGAACGGGTTGTGGGCCATGGGATGGGGGAGCAACAAGAGCCGTGAGTTTCTACATATGCGCCATCCCCTAGTCATGGATGTTACCACTGTCTGTGTACGGAGTACGGTACGTCTGTTCGATCAAGATGCAGCGGTCACACCGACCAGGGTTCTTGCAGCACTCGTCTGTTGTAAAAAGGCCGCCGTTGACTGGCTGCTCGGTAATAGCAGCGTATGTTTGCGCAGACCGACGACGAATGAGGGTGGGATGCGAACCTCGATGGGATGGCATTCGCTTTCTCAATTCTGCCAGGGGCTTGTCTTGTCGCTGGCCTACTGCTGCTGGCTGCTTAAACCATCCATAGAAACATCCTCCAACCGCTGTCATCATTTTTAGCACACTCGGTTCCATTCACCTTTTACCCCTCTTCCCATCTCCAACTTCCAAGAATAGGAATGGGTGTCCATCGCCCGCGCAACCTTGAATCCTTCTCACCCATCCAAGAGCGCCCACGCCTCTGCCGCTGCGGAAAAAGATTGGACGAAGACGTCCTTTCGCCTGGGCCTGGCCGTGCAGCTTGCTCTTGTCAGCTCCGGTGCGCGCATCCCCCGTTCCCGCTGAAACGGAACTATTGGCCCGGTGGTGATGGTGTTCACCTTCGGCGGCGTCCCTCCCATCGTGCGGGGTTCGTCCTTGCACCTCCCTGCTTGACAGAGTCACCACCTTCTTGATCCTTCTGCCTTTTCCGTCTCCTGCTCACACCTCTCCGGTGATAAGCCCCAAGGACATGGGCGCGAGGGGTGATTAACCTGGCAAGGTGAGCCTGGCCGCGGGTCGCGGGGGTTGTGAAGGAGCCCAGCAAGGGCGACAGCCTATGGCAATCCTGTTCAACCACACCGAGGTAGTGATCACGAACATGACCCCTCTTTCTCCTAGATTAGATCTATTCGAAGCACGGCAAACAAGTATTTGCCACGGGTATCCTTCGGAGACCTGTCGGCAAGAGTATTTGGGATCTTGACTGGCCAGGCAGAGGGTTATTGTTGATAGACCACTAGTGTATACGTGTTCTGCTTCTAGTTCGAGAAGCGAAGGAGGCGATCTATGCGCGGCTGATTGAATGGTGATACAAAGTCTAGGCTTGGCAGCGGCAACTGAGTAACCCGTTGCGTTTGGACGAAAGATGGGACCAGAGTCACCAGAGAGCACGGATACCCCGAGTATGCCCATCTCATGACGGAAGTTTGTTGAGTTGATTCTAGAGACTCTTGCTCTTTGGCTGAAAACGCAAAAAAGGATGGGATTCTTGGTTTCGGCTGGAAGGAATAAAACGGCGCGGCCGAGATTGTGGGCATCATAGACTAGTTGCCAAGAATAATGAAATGGTATTATTGGGCGATCAACGACTATTGTAGACTTTGCAATGACTTTTTGCTGCAAATGTTTCATCGTCGATAACGAAACGAAACTCCAAAGCACAGGCTTCAAAGCCAAGCTGTCATGTTTCCCGGGTTCCGGACTTCCATTGTGGCAGTGCTCCCTCAAAGCTCGTCGGTCAGACTGCCATCGGTTTCCTTCTCCAGCGCATCAGGCAGAGTGATCTCATCCTTCTCAGCGCTGCGGACCTTTTCCCAGAATTTCTCGCCGTTTTCGGGGTCTTCGGCGAAGAGGTGGTCGATGACCATCTTCTTAGGTGTCTCTCCCATCCACTGGAACAGCGAAAAGTCTCTGAATTCGTCGGCGCGGAAGATTTCGAGCATTTCGAGGGGTTCGTCGCCGATGTTTTCGACGAAGTGTCCCATGTTCTTAGGGACAATACCGACATCGCCGGGAACATAATCAAAAGTTCTCGCGTTTCCTTCAGAAGCAAAAATCGTAACACGGGCACGTCCCTTAATAAAGAAGGACCATTCATCGGCGTTAGGGTGCCAGTGCATTTCTCGGAGGGCACCGGGTTCAATGATAGCGTGTGCAGCGGCGACGGTTTTCGAAATCGGGAAGTTGTTCGAGTCCGTAATTCTGACCTGTCCACCAGACGTCTTCTTGGGTTCCTGAGCAAGCATTTTGTGAGTGAATTGGTGCTTTGACTTCTTGACGCCCTTTCCGTTGGGAGCCTCGTGGCCAATCGAGCCAGGAGTGGTTCCCTGGAAAATGTATTTTTCTCCCTCGGGAATGTGAGCGAAAATTTCCGGGGCCAAGTTGAAGTTCTTGGAGATAACGGAGCGAGGGGTGTGGGCTTTTGTACGGTTAGTATTTGCTCAAATATCGGGTTGAACGGTGTCGTACCAAGCCAGTCCGTCAGGATGAAAGTAGACTCCTCAGAAAAGCTTCCATCATCGAAAATCAACAGGAACTCGGTGCCGTTCTCGCCGAGACCTTGAAGGGAGTGAGGAACACCGGATGGGAAGTACCTGGGAAGCTATGGTCAGTTGTGTTCCTGTCAAGCAGACTGGACATTTTTTGTTGGCTGCTTCTTACCAAAGATCACCCTTGTTCAAATCATCGATGAAATTGCCTCCCTCGTAGTCGATCGCGGTGACACGAACACTGCCATCGAGAACGTAGGCCCACTCGGCCTCCTTGTGCCAGTGAAGCTCACGGATCACGCCCTCGTCCAACCGCATGTTGACGCCGGCCAATTCGACACTCGTGGATAGCTCGCGAACCGTAGTCTGTCGGGTCCAACCGCCTTCCTAGGGTGTATGTCAGTGCTGTACAAATCGCGCAAGTAGCATACCGCAACATAGGATGCGAACCTCAATGCGAATGTGGGAGTCAGCGAAGCTCCAGCGCATGTTGGCCAGATTGCCGTGGTCGGTGCTGGGAGGTCGAACGAGATCTGGGTTTTGTCTGGAGCGAGCCTGGTTCCATGGTCCAAGGACCGAAGCACCGAGTCCATTGCGGTAGGGCAAGGGGTCAAGCTCGTCTCCGACAGAGTCAATAGGACCGTCGTACTTGTCCTTGTGACCGGGCGTGTAAGGAGGCGCACTCGACCGGTATTTAGAAGGGAGGCCCTTTCCGTCCAGAAGACGCTGGCGAGGGCTGTCTTGGACGGGGATCGCGAGGGTAGGGGCGATGAGACCCAGGACAGCTCCAGAGAGCAGCGGAAGATGCATGATGGGCGTGAAGTGGGAAGGTCAAAAGGCTGCTCAGCAAAAGAAAGATTGACTTGTCTGGCACGTAACTCCCAACGAATATTCTGCCACTATGGCTTTTATACCCATAGAAATAAGGCCAAGACGCGAAGATCCTCGGTACGATCATGGGAAGTTTTCGGGACCTCGAAGCTCAGAGCTAGCTCTGATTGACCAATGGGCACATCCTTCGACCCCTGATAGCTGTCTCCGACGAACGGGCAGATCAGCTATCAGAGGCCTTGTAGATTGCAACACGGCGTTGAAACCGAGTCAAGGCCGACGCTTCTCCGCAGGCTGTTCGCATAGCTATCGCAAGGGTCGGAGGTGAGCTCGATCGAACTGCGCGTCGCACGAAGCTGCGGGGTCCGCCGTATCAGCATCGCTTACCCCTTACCCCAAGCTACAACCCCTGCTCGCGCGGTAAATGATTGGTGACTACAGCGAACTAGCTGTGCTCCCAGCCGGGGTTTCGACGGCATGTTGGAAGTGTCGCCCAACATGGATTTTGATGGCCCGTCTGCCGGATGATGGTGAGGGGATGAAGTCTTGGATGATGGAAAATGCATCCGGGGGAATGGCGATGACGCGTTGGAGTGTTCAGGTACGTACCTTGCATGCACGCGTCTCCCCCAGCAACGACACTGCGCCGAGTCGTTGTCTTGGTGAGCCTGAGGTCTAGGTGTCTGGTGATCTTGAACAAGCTTTGCGACAAGAAATCCAGGAAAATAAATCAGACAACATGGGCAATGTGGGTGATGCGAAAAGACCACATAAGATGAACAAGAAGAGGAAGATCACACTGCGATCGAGTACTTACATGTAATTAAAATCAAGAAGTGTATTGTATTGACTGCGCGTCTTCATTCTTGAAAGAAAGACACCCCAAGTGCTTCTCAAACTTGCTGCTTGACCCAAGTTTCCAATATCAGAAACGGTTGTTCACTGTTCCGCCATGCCTTTGGCTGATCCACGAACAATCACGGCCATCCAACCGCGTGTTGAGACATGTTCAATAGCCACTCCTCACACATAAGTCAAGACTTCACTTTATGTCCATATCAGGCCAGCTTCACCTTGGGAGAAACATCTTGTAGGGGCCAATGAAGATAGGAAGCGTTGGGGACGGTATGTCTGATCTGGATGTCAGCTAAGTGAAACTCAAATGAATTTGTAACCATTGAATGTTACTTACAGACTTGTGGGAGATGCTCTGCCTTATGTCTCATGTTACAGCTTTCCTAAAATATCTGATTCCCAGATTTACCTACCTACTAAGCAGAAAACGGCTCTTTCGCAATGAGAATCTAGATGAATTTCATATCTGGCCATCTCTCCCAACTATGTTTCACATGAATCTCCCACCTTTCACTCTCCCCACTGACAAAAGCTCAGTAGCCAAAATATAATAGCTTCACAGGTTGAGGCAGGTGCTCCCTCCTTGAAACGGTCCTTCCTTCTGCGCGCACACAGAACCTGCTTAAAAACTTTTCACTTCCTTATTTCCTTTCTCACTTCCTTATTTCCTTTCCCACTTCTTTATTTCGTTGCTCACTTCTTCAGTGCTTTTCTCACTTCTTCAGCGCCTTTCTCACTTCTTTCTCAACCTTCTCCTTCAATCCTTCACCAACCTCACTTGCAGTCCATTCAACACCAAAGACTCAACACGGCCAGACTCACAATGGCGGATCCTTTCAAAGGGTATTTGACTCAATCAAAATCTTTATTGACTAGAGCTAACATCTTCAGCGCTGTTATCTTGCTTCCTGATGGCCGCGTCGTTCGTGCGAGAGACCTCGCCCCAGCCAACATTGGTCCCGCTGTCCTTCACGACGAGGCGCTGAAAAATGCTCTCAGACAACTCAGAACTCCCCTGCCAGACGGTCCACGCAATTCACCATCCAACATCGTCACCTCCGGCCCATCCAGCCAGGCGGAGAATCTCATAAATCAGACTTCTACTACTGGGAACGAAAGAGGGGCCAACGCAGATCCGAGTAGCAATGCCAACACACGCACCACCACACATCAGAGCACCTCACGCAGACCGTCCGGAAGACCTCACACCCTCGTGTGTGTGCATTGCAACAAAAGCTTCTCCAGGAACGACACAGTCAGGCTTCACCTGATCAATGCGCATTATAAGAAGGACACACCTGGCATCACCAATGAGGAAGCGCAGGCTAAGTCCAGACAAGAGGCACCATGAGCCTGCATCGCCCAGAAGATCAGTGGCTAGGGTAACGACTTGCCCTTGCGGGAAGACAAGTAAACCAACGACAAGAATTGAGCGAGATTGGAAGTGTGCAGGGGGCACAATTGGCATGCAAATACAATCAGGGAGTTCAGAGATCGATTGAGCACATCATCATGGGCTTCGGAGGATAGGGGGGTCCGGATAGCGCATTCAAGTACTCGCTAGCGACATCAAGATACATCATTCTTGCACTATCACGTTGACACAAAGCCCCGAGATATCAAGTGATGATTGATTATTAAGGTTTCTATCTATCCTCCTCTAGATCCCAATTACCATGCTTTTACTCCAGCTACACCATACTGAGCTTAAGCACATTAAAGTGCTTCTAAGCCGCGCCCTCAAGAGGCGAATGACATGTTGCGGCCATGAACTGCTTACAGAGCGGCAAGGGCACCAACAGCCAGCATGGCGAGGACACCAACGGGGCCCTGGACGTTGGCACCGTTGACAGTGACGGGAGCGACGGTGGAGGTGGCGGTGGAGGTGCCGTTGCGGCTGGTGACGGCGCTGGTAACGACAACGGTCCTGGTGCCGGTAGCGGAGGCGCTAGCCTGAGAGACTCTGCTGGTGATGGAGGCGGCTCTGCTGGAAGCGACGGAAGCGACGCGGCTCGAGACGGAGGCGACGACAGCGGAGGAGACGGAGGCAACGGCAGAAGAGACGGCAGGGACGGCGGCGGCAGAGGAGGCAGGGCCGCCACCGCCAGCAACGGCGGCGCAGATCTTGCCAGCGGCAGGCAGAACCTGGTCTAGAGCAATAGTCAGCATCACTCCTTAACACGAGAGATTACTCGGGAAGACCTACTGGCAGCGACCTCGGCACCGCAAGAGGCGAGGACGCAGGGGGTACCGGCGGCGACGATGGCCTGGTAGTTGGCAGGGCTGCACAAGCAGGCAACGTCGCCGGCCTGGCACTTGCCGCTAGCAGTGACGGCGTTGTTCAAGCAAGTGACGGCACACGAGGGGATACCGTCGAGCTGAGCAGCAACGAGGCTGGCAACGGCGAGGATGGTGGCGGCGGAGAACTTCATTTTGAACGTTGGAGAGATTGTCGGGGGACTTGAGTTGAAGGGTTGAAGGCTGTTCAAGTGAGAGACGGTTGATCGACAACGAGTGGATTGACTGTTCGGTTGGAAGTGAGTGAGTCGGATGAGTTGAATGCGCTGAAGAGGAAAGGAAACATGATGACGGGGTGCGAGAGACTCTCCCCTCATATACTTGGACAAAACGCCATGAATTAGACTCGTGGATCAGTGGGATTACGCTACGTTCCTAGCGGGTTGACCGAGACAGAGCCCGTTCTCGTATCATAGGCCCATATAGGAATGTGTCGTTGTTGCTTGCAGCCACAAGCCAAACCATATCCGTCACTGAGACATCTCGCCGTCCAATCGGGGTGTTTTTTTCAATTCTTCAACTTCTTGGTTCCTGGGGCGGAGCATGGGAATGCTAGCTCGTTGAGGGGCAGTTGCATGGCAGCCCAGACAGGAATCCGCAAACGACCTGAATGCCGAGTCCGTCCACCTGGAGACATTACCTGGAGGCAGCCCGGATTCTGGGGATTTCCTGATATCATACACTGGGCTTTGTTGGGGCGGGAACCGTCCGAAGACAGCTTTTACAGAATGCCATCGTCGATTCGACTATCATCCCGGGTGCCAAGACTATGGGACGCCTCCGGATTCAACGCTGCTGAGGGTATTCACGCAATTCCCAAGGAGTCGGTTTTACATTGCGCTACCCGATGCGGACGATGAGATGGCGCTACCGGCGAGGTGTTGGTTAGCCGGGACAGACGGGTGAGAAAGCTTGGCTCGTTTGAGGCGGGGGCAGATCTCTCCATCCACGGTCTCAACAAAGTGGCCCGGTTGTGGTTGATCTAATGAACGAGTGGTTGTCGGCCCATGGGAGCTCTGGGAGATTAACTCCTGAAAGATAAGGAGAGCTTTGATCCGCCACACGTCGCGAACTATTGGGTTTCAACTTCCACTGGCGGCCACGCGAGCGGCTTAGTTCCCGCACCACAAGACCGATCATGTCGATTGGTTCGAGTTTGCCCCTGGCTTGCGCTCACTCAAATCGACAAAAGCCACGGCGCTCACTAATCCGGGTAAGAGGCAAGCCACTCGGTGGCTGCTCACGTTGTCAAACGAGATTCGCCTCTTCAAGTGGCCTAGACCAAGCCCGAGGTTTCCGAAGGAGAGGTCGAGGCGCGACGGAGGCAAACAGTTGATTAGATGGTAATAGGAATTACAACAGGAGCTGACGCTATCTAGAACTATTTGCTACACGGCACACGAAATCTACACGATGCATGTTTTTATGCGCTCCCGAGAGCACCCATCTGACCCAAGTCCGTCCATGCAATCCGTTACATGTCTAGTCCGTTCCGATCCGTTCCATTCCCCTACCCAGCCGTGACAAAGGAAATATGTGAATGAAAGAACTCATGATGGTGGCCAATATTGCCCCATGTTGCTACCGAACAAATGAAAAGAAACAAAGGAAACGCTACCATAATCATTCAATCGTCGCCATACAGCTACCGTAAGCCCCTATCACTACATATGTGTATATCCTTGCACCATATACCTGATGATATAATTGTTTGCGACTGGTTTAATCGCTCTTGTCGCCCTCCGACTGGGACGAGGATCGCATCGCGCGCAAGTCGCTTCGGCGAATGACTTGACTGAAGATGAAAGTTAGCATCATGTCCAGGCATTCTTCAAAAGAAGAGAGGGGAAAATAACTTACATCCTGCCACGTTCGTTGGGATCACGGATAACGACAAGCTGCTCCTTCTTCTTGTCGTTGTCCTTTGTCTTGGTGCGCGAAGATGACTTCTTGGTCTCTCCGGACGGCGAGGCGACGCGTCCGCGCAGAGACTTAATCTGCTGCTGCAGGCCGACAACCTCGGCCACGGTAGCCTCGTATGTTGCGCGAAGGCCGTCGAGCTGAGCGTTGACCGCGCCAAGCTGGGCCGTCAGCGACAGGTTCTCTTGGCGGAGCACAGGAGCTTGGTTGGCCTCCGGCTCAAGCTCGGCGATGCGAGCGTTCAAGCCTTCTCTTTGGGGCTCGAGATTGGCAACGCGGGCAGCAAGCTCATCTCTCTCAGTGGTGAGGGGCTCGAGGTTGGCGACGCGGGCGGCGAGCTCGTCTCTCTCGGCGGTGAGGGAGCCAAGCTTGACTGTCTCTTCTTGAAGCTGGTCGTTGCGCGTCTGGAGTTCGGCAATGTTCTGACGGAGCTCCTCCATGACGGCGGGTTCGGGGGCAGAGGAGGCCACGGACTCGGCTTTCTCAGCAGCCGGCTCGGCCTCGGCCTCCGGTGCCGGGGCGGGAACGGGCTCGGCTTCAACCTCGGGCATCGCCTTGTCCACCTGAGACGGAGCCACAGACTTGGCGTCGTCCTTGACCTCTTCTTCGACAATGATGACCTCCTCAACAGGCGGCGCCGGTGGCGCATCCTCGGAGGCAGGTGGCGCGGTGGCAGCATCATCATCGGCCTTGACGGTACCGGCATCGCTGCCAGCATCGCTCTCGGAAATGACTGAAGGGGCAATAGATGGGGCAGCAGAGCCCATGAGAGACTCTGCGCGGCGGAGCTCGCTGGTGACGGACTCATTTTCGTCCTTCAATGAGGCATTTTCGTCAATCAGCGAAGCGTTCTCCCCGGCCAGGGAAGCGTTCTCGTCAATCAGTGATGCATTCTCTCCGGCTAGGGAAGCGTTTTCGTCCTTGAGAGACCCAATCTCTGACTGAAGACCAACTCGTTCATCCCAAAGACGGAGGATTTGAGAGGTGTGGTCATCCTGGTCACTGAGGAGGCCCTGAACCTGCTCCTTCAGCGTGGCGTTGCGCTCCTTCATGGTATCGATGCGCGTCTGAAGCTTGTCATACTTGGCCTGCACACCCTCGAGGTCCTTGACTCGGGTATCAAGCTCTGCCTTGCCAATCTCGAGCTCACCCTTGGTGATCTCAAGACTCTCGAAGCGGGTCTGGAGATCGGTGTTGGCGGTCTCAAGCTCGGTGAACCTGACCACGATCTCTTGCTTCTCAACCTCAATGGCGTCAAAGCGCTCCTGGATACCCTTCTTCTCGGTCTCGAGCTGCTCGACGCTGGCTTCGAGTCCCTTCTTCTGCTCATCGAGTTCGTCGATGCGAGTCTGAAGGTTCTTGTTGGCCTCGGTGAGGCCTCCGTTCTCCTTGAGAAGCGAGTCGACTTGAGGCTTGTACCTGTCGAGCTCCATGCGCAGGAGGTCGCGCTCAGAAGTGACGTCGCCGAGTTCAGTGCCCCTCTTGATAAGGTCGGTCTCAAGGCTGGCGACGCGAATCCTGAGGGCGTCCCTGGTCAACTCAGCGGCAGCGATTCTCTCAATGAGAGCGCGCTCGGTCTCCTTGGTAACCGCGCCGAGGTCACCAAGATCCTTCTCGAGGTTGGAGCAGCGAGCTTCGAAATGCTCTCTCTCCTTCTTCTGCTCGGCGAAGTCATTCTCGAGAGTGGCGTACTTGGATGAGATCTCGTTCTTGGCGTCTCTCTCAGAGGCGAGAGTCTGTTCGAGCTCGCTGGACTTGGACTCGAGCTCAGTGAACCTGGCGGCGAGCTCGTTTGACTTGGATCCAAGTTCGCTTGTCTTGGCTTCAAGCTCGGTTGATTTGGCCTCCAACTCAGCCGCGACGTCGCGGAGCTCATCCCGCTCCTTCCTAACTCCCTCGAGGTTCATTTCATGTTCGTGAAGGAGGTTGTTGGCGTCATCGAGAAGCTGAAGTTGCACCTCCAAGTCGCTAGTAATTCTGGTCAGGTCTCGTGTAATTCTGTCGTTGAGCTTTTGCTCATCCCTGTGCAGCTTTTCGATCATGCCCTTGTCGGCAGATAGTGTCTTCAGGCTTTCAAGAGCCTCATTGCGCTGTCTCTCTGCCCTCTCCTTATCGGAGTGAAGTATGTCAAGT